AACTTCATGCAATAAATCTGTTTAACGCATTTGGCCATCTTGCATGAAAAGAAAATCTGACAAGCACACACAACACGTCTGTACTCCATGCAAAAATTTTCACGCATGCTTGCGAAGGGTGGCGTCACCTCCCACCCAAAGGATTTTGGCCATGTGGCATTAGTTTTGATGGGAAAAAAATTAAGTTGGATAATTTTTTTGTGTGTAGTTTCTTGTTTCTTATAACACTTCACAAAGCACACAGATTACAAAGTCCTAATCACAAGCAGGGAGCTGAGGAACAATACTTTGATACTAAACAGAGCAAAAAGATACTCTGACCTTAGGTAGATCTATGCATATATAATAATTTTTTATGGGTATTATGCTAGTCAAATATAAACTACAAGATCAATTTTTATTCATCCCCCAACTTTAACTATCATCAAAATTTCTTTAATTTGTCAGATAATGTAAACAAAATGTAACATTTGAGGGGAAAACCAGCAATGGTCTACTGAATGAAAAATATGAAAATTATGTTCACTCTTACAAGTTACAATTTTTTTTTCTTTAAATATGAAGTATAAATATATTCTTATCAGTTGTAGGTGATTAAAAAAGAATAAAATTGGTAGGCAAATCTATTTTAAAATCAATGAAGAAAATTCAAATATAGTATTCCTGGAAATTTCCAATTTTTTTTTTAATTTAAATCTAATATCAGTATTTAAGAGTGGACAAATTAATTTAATTAATTGACTAACAGTTTTAAAATATAGAAAAAAAATGAAAATATATTAGGCACAAAAATGTCAATAATGGCACATTAAAAACATTAAACTGACTTTTAAATAATAATGACATCAATATAGTTTTAAACATTTTAAATAAAAAGCGTACTTTCAAGTTAAATATGAAATTTGCTCAAAATTTGTTCAAAGCTTTAATTCATAGTTTCATAATAAAAAAAAAACTTTTATACATCAAAATAAAAGGAAATCTTTTCCTTTATGCAAATATGAATATTTTTGTCTTCGCCTCCTCCAAGGTTGACATCTACTCTGGCAACCTTATCAAATACTTTGAGATAAAATGGGTAACAGTGATATCTTATTTGTGATAATTGCCATTTATTAGATATTAACATAAACTTGCAATTCTCACCTCCATCAGAAACTGATACAGAATATGAAGATAGCAAAATACTAAGAACTTTTTTTTTTTTTTTAAATTGAGCATATCTTAACTTTAAGAGTTACATGATGAATCAGTATGTAGAATCCATGCACTATAAGACATTTAAGGGTGAAGGGGTCTTCATTAATGTAAAGTATTATTTGCATTCAGATTTTACTTTGTTAAAAAAAAAAATAAAGACATTACTTGAAATGTAAATAATAAGACAGAAAAAAATAAAAAATGTTTAAAAAAAAAAAAAAAATAATTTGTATTTTAACCTTGACTCATGATACAATTTTATAAGTACTGTTATAAGCACTAGTTCTGTTTCACAAATACTGAACAGGTTTAGCTATTTCATCAGTGATTTTTAACAAAAACAGTAAATGAAAATTCATACATGTAAAGTTTTTCAATATAAAACAAAACTTCAGCTTAGAGTATATTTCAAGTTGAATGGTGGAGTAAAATCAACAAAAAGTTATTTGTTGGGGAAAGAAAAAGTACAATTTGAAAATCATTTCAGTAACTTAATATAATTCTTTAGAAAAATCTTTAAAGTCAACTTCCCAAACTTTAATAAAAAAAAAAATAAATAAATAAATAAATAAAAAAAAATCCTAACAATACAGGGTGCGATGGATAAATTGTCGTCTAAATTATTCAAAAATGAAAATAACACTGGCATATGAGATGCCAGTGTTATTTTCTTTTTTTTTTTAACAGATAAATTTACCAAAATGACACAAAAATATCTTAAATACTAAAGAGTAAATTTATTCAATAAAATCGCTATTGGCTTCAGCCACGGCCTCCAGACAATTTCAGAATCTCCTGCAACTCTTCTGGACAATCTCCTTGTTTAAGTTGCTGCCATAATCCTTGCCTTCAGTTTATATTTGGTGTTACAAGGAGTTTTTTTGGTCTCTTGCTCAACTGCACCCCACACATAATAATCAAGGGTGCTGCAGTCTGGGTGTAATGAGTTGGTTGGTCAACTTAACACCTCCAAAGCAAGTGGAGGTGGGCAGGCGCGGGAACTGTGATTGGTAGCTGGCTTGTTAGTGTTTTGCATAGGTGAGTTACCAAGCTCTATATAAAGGGCTGGAATGAGAAGGAGGGCAGTTTTCAGTCTCATAAGTGGAGACTGTGCCCGTTGCTATGACAGCAGGAGAGAAAGAGACAAAATCATTTATTTTTCGTGACACATTCCAACACACAGGACAGTTAGGTAGCCAGATGTAAGGGGTGATGTGGTCGCAGAAATTGTCTGACAGCCTTGACTGCTCTCCTGCTTGTATGACATGGTGCAGAGTCCTGTTGCCAGACATAGGGTCTTCCAGCAGTAACCCTCTTGAGCCAGGGCAGCACTACCACCTCAAGATATTTGATGTAGGCCTCCAGGTTGAATCTGAGGCCCTGTGGGAAGATAAAAGGAGGTATAACATCAACATCACTGGTGATCACTCCAAACACCATGATGTTGACTGTATATTCGATTTTCATCACTCTTGGTACATCTTTTGGGGACACAGCAAGCCAACAGCTGTTCTGTGTGTGTCCACCATTTTATCCTGGCAGAAATTTTCTCATCTGAGAAAAAACAAATCATGTTCAATTGGAGGGGATGCTTGAGTTTATTCAAAAACTTTGTAGCATGGTCTTTCGTCCTGTCCTTCATGGCTTGGGATAAAAATTGACCCTTTCTCATCCTGTATGAGAAATACCAAATGTCTTTATGCACTATCTGCCTGATAAGAAACTCAGAGACTCCTGTGTCCCTAGCTATGGACCTGACTGACTTCGAGGGATCATTGTCAAACATGGCCTGGATCTAACCAACAAATTTGGAAGTTCTTTTCTTATCAGAATGATCAGAGTGAGTTTTCTAGGCTGCCATACATTCGTAGTCACCATTAGATTCATCCAACTCTTTCTGAATCCTCTGAACTGTCCTCAGATTGATACCCAAACACACTGAAATGTTCATATTGGAGCTTCCGGTGCAAATGCCAAACAGTACAATATGCTGTTTCCTAATTTCTGGCAGAGTGAATTGTATCTGTCTATATTTCTGAGATGAGGTATTATGTACATTATTTGGACTATTGTCCTCATCTTTGTCGCTATATTTATTACATTTCTGCCATTGTACACTCCGGCCTTCTTCAGGTGGTTGGAATGTCGAACTGAACCCTTTATTTCGCTCACTGGGATAGACTGTTCTAGTTCCACGTGCAATGTTTAATGGATGTCAGTTATCAGTTATCTCCTGTTAATTTTCCTTCTGAAAGTTCTCCACTGCCTTAGGACACAAAGAGTGTGAGTTCAATACCCAGTTAAGGCAGTGGAGAACTCACAGAGGGAAAAATTAACAGGAGATAACTGATAACAGACATCCATTAAACATGGCACGTAGAACTAGAACAGTCTACTCCAGTGAGCGAAATAAAGGGTTCAGTTTGACATTCCAACCCCTGAAAAAGACCAGAGAGTACAACGGCCGAAATGTAATAAATATGTGCCATAGTACCTATTCTATTGTAATGGACTCTCCCATAGATAATAAGTAGGAGTAGCAGTGGCAAGTCTGGCAGAATGGTGTTGAGCGCGTCAGTCGAGATTCGGACATTTGAAGTACCAACCATCACAACTAGATTGCTGCGCTATTGACTCTTATTTTCCAAGTTCCTAACGTTTTGTACGTCGGACCTAATTTAGGACGACTTATTAGAAATACAAGCCTCCACTGTGAAAATACTCCACAACAATATGGTGACAAAGATGAGGACAATAGTCCAAATAATATAAATAGAGTGAATTGTGTCATGTTGCACTTTTTCTCAGAGACAGTGCCCAACTGATCCTACTACACTGTGTAGTTGGCAAAATCAAAAACTAACAATGCACACGTGCAAAATTAAAAATATAAAATGATGACAATTTATCCATCCTGTAATTTGATAAAAATAGATTTTTCATCAAACCAAAATGAGTTAGGAAAAAAAAAAATCTTGAATGAGTTTTAAATAAAGCAGAAAAAATAAAATGAATTGAAGTAAAATTCAATTCAGCTGTTATTTTCTAATAAGAGAGTAAGTCTTTTGGTTCATTTGTATGTTGCATCTATATTAATACATTTGTTCCTACCTATATTGGGTCTGTAAGGTGTGACAATTCCCAGAAGTACCTCATGAAGGTAAAGTTTGCTTATCTGGTCAGTATTGGCTGTTGTCACCTTCAAAGCACCCACCTCGTGAAGTTATGGATTTTGTGGGAAGATAGTGCCATTACTAGAAATGTTGTTAGAAATCATCGCAACAAAAACACAAAATATAACAAGTCTGGGGAAATAAAGAAATTTTATACTTACTTCAATTAAATAACTTAAAGTTATTTCAAATTTAAAAAGCAAACATTTCTTAAGCCAACTACAATAGCAAGATTCTGCAAACCCAAACTAAAAATCATTGCCCTAAGTGAAATGACGAGGTTTAAAATAGACATCTAGTTTTCACCTTCAGTTGCACTATGACTTGGCCTAAAGTAAAGAACACCATATTCATTAAGCCAACAACATGCTGCAGTCATACTAGGAACTATCACACTTCATACATGGTCTCTATTCTAATCTATTCTAAAGCACACTAATCAATGTTTAAGTCACCAGATTCCGATTAAGACTTGTTATTAAATAAATTATGGCATTTACTGCTAAACATTCACCAATAACCAAACTTTTAATTAGTTTTGTATATGTAAATACATTTATTTTTAATTTAAAAAAAAAAAATTTTCTGATAAAAGTTTCAAAATAAAATGGATTTCTTTTTTCTTACCTGTATCAGGAACATCTGTTGGTCGCATAATTCTACGGATTTGTTCCATGGACTGTAAATCAGGAGAAAGGCCTATTGGAGAGAAAAAAAATATATAAATTTTAACATTTCTTTGCATAAAAATAAGAGGAATATTTTACAGAAACAATTCAGAAATAAATTATGTAAATAGAATGAAATTAGATAAGTATAAAACCAAACAGACTACAACTAGTTAAGAGGTTGCTCAAGGAAAGTCTTACGAAAATGAGTAAATTAGCTCCAATGTTTTACTAGAAAAGTCTCCACACTTGCAATATTGAACAGCCTGCTTTTCTCATTTGCAATGTCAGACCATTTGTCTGACTTATTTACTTAAATCATTTCTCAGTGGACAATATAAATAATGTGGACCTCATTTTAGAGACCATTGTTTTAATATATTAAAATGACTCCTATTTTTTAGAAAAGTTTTAACACATTATCGCTACTGCTAAATAGTGCAAAATTGATAGCAGCCAAATAATATTTAATAAGCAATGCTTCCCTGAGTTGTGTATGGTTATGCTATTTGAAAAGAATTTTTGTGTTATTGACTAGAATTTTCCTTAAAAGGTTCTTGTAAATAATTATGAGTTAATAAATGTTTATTAAATGCACTCTGCTTTGAAAGGTGGCATATAAGACATCTACTTAAGGAGGTAGTGGTGTGTCCAATATAGTTCATTGGTTTTTGACATGCTCAGGTCAACTGACCACACATCACTGCCAAAAAAAACCATACAAAACCCTATATATATATATATATATATATATATATATATATATATATATATATATATATATATATATATAATTGGATAAGATTATATATGTAAGTAATGATAATAATGTAACTAATAAAATTTGAGGTTAAGGCAAATAACTTTCTGATTGTATTATCAAGTTTTACAAGTACCAGAAGGTAAATTAGCTGCAAAACTCAAATAGTTTTCAAGTGCTCAAGTCATTTTAAATGCACTCAGATATAAACATTTTTTTTTATCATTTCACCCCAAGCAAGTCACAAAAACACAAGGGGTTACAGATTGTGAGAGAATGAGAAAAAGACAACATTAAGGAGAGAACAATAAAAGAACAAGAATTAAAGAAACAGTAGATAATGATTGACAATGCATTAAAATTTTTGAAGATTGTAGTTAAATGAGACTATTTCTCAGATGTTGTTCCTACAATACAAAATACCACTTGTTCAATCCACCATTCTTGAGTTCCACACACTTCACCAAAGTAAACCAGTTCTCCCTGCTTCAAGCCTTCTTTTATCAGGTCAACACCACAGCTGACTAATCAATTAGCGTTCTTTGCTTTTGACTTCAGTTACCCAGTCAAACAGCCTCCTGCAGCTCGACCAATCAGCACACGACTTGCTATTGGTCAAAACATGCTAAGCTGTAACAAAAGTTACCATTACAGCACATACTGTTGGAACAGTCCAACATGAAGAGTGGAGATTAATGGCATTTTCAAGGAACAAAATGCCGATGCTACGTGCTGTGAGTTGTGGTAAGGAACTTATTTTCCTTTGCACCAGATTCAAGCCACTCTGGCTGGCTGGTTTGCTTCTATGTGTGATTGTTCACCACAAAAGTCAACCTTGACTGAAAAGCAAGAAGCTGGAAGAGAGTTTCACAAGCAAGAATTGCAAAAGAAAAAAAAAAGTTGGCATAGAGACTTACAGTTACATCTAGCGATTTCAATTGTAAGATGATGAGACCTTGCTGGCAATCTAGCAACACAAAAATTCATAAAATCTACGTACTCGTCAGAAAAATTACCTCAAAAATATTTATAGAAACGATACAGGGAAGCTATGTTATGGCAGTGGGAAAGTGACTGAAGCCAAGATGCCAGGTTAGAACCAATAACATTGCAGATTCTTTAGATTTTATCAAGAGTCTCTAAATAGCAGAAAAACCAAACCAGATGTGACCACAATATCCAATGCATGAGCAAATGGTAGACTTATAAATGTGTATGATAAATCAACAATTTTCAAGATTAATGAATTTTTACTCCTTAACATTTTTACTCTTATGTAAAAATGCACAAAAGGAGTACTGAAAAGCACTCAATCTAACCAAGATTTTGAAAAGTGGCTCAGGCTAAGAAATACATATAACCCCTGCATGTGTTCGTATAGAGAAGCAAGTACTGTGATGTGTTTGAAAACTCCACAAAATAAGCCAAGGATGTGAAAAGGCAATGCTGGACAAGTGAAAAAATATTAAAAGTACAGAAAACAGGTGGGGATTATCAGTATCTTAAAAAGTTAAAAACTGTTCACTCATCACTTTAATGTCAAGAAATCAAGCTACCATTAAACTAAACAGTTACAAAAAAAGAAGAAAAAAAGAACTCTCCTTTGATAACTAATCAATGGTTGAAGTGGGAGGTTTTAAGATCTGCATATAGGCACACACACTCAAAATAAGGCTTCCATTTTATTTTCTATGCAAATACATTAGATAAGTTTATATAGTAAAAGAGAGAAAAAAAAATTATTTTACACAAATATTTTGCAATGTTGCCCTAGTCAATGTACTTAACGTTCAGCATTCTACATTATTCATAAGTATTACTCCTCCTTCCACTATATATGGTGTCTTCTCAAATACAAACTACTGTAGCCATGATCTCAATTTTAGTCAAGGCTTTTTTTTTTTTAACTGTTGCTATAGCAGGATGTGATAACACAATCATGAAATTTAAATATACTGTTATTTGTGATTGGAGTCAACTGCAATGGCAGAAATACTTTCTTTGGTAACTGAAGTTGCTTAAAGAATGTTTAAGGTTAATTAAGTGGTGAATAGTAATTACCAGGGATCAAAACTAGTGCTCTTTCAGGGGTGACAGAATCTTAGTCTGGGATGGTAGGTTATGTTTTTTATTGGGGGTGGGGGATAATAAGAGGGCAATAAAAAAAAAAATGAAAAATTAAATTGTTACATTTATTCTAAAACCAACTAATTTTTTAAAATTTAAAATAAATTTTTTCCTTCTTACCAAGAGTAGTAGGCTTTTTATAAATGGAACATGCACGAATACACACAAACAGAAAGTAAAGTATTTTTTTTTAAGCTTGTGAAGATTAGTTGGCTTAAATTTAGACATTTGTATTATTTATTTCTAAATGTGAAAAACATTAGAATCTTATTGTAAGAACTAATTTGGCTTTCATAAACAAATTATTTTTTTTCTTTCAATTTTTGGTTAAAAAACTTGAATCATTTACAAAGAAAATTTGTGTGTTATGTTTTCTGCTTATCAAAGTAAACTGAAAATACAATTTAAAATAATAAAGACTGAAAATTTAGTCATGATGCAAGGAAGCCATTTGTAAATTAACATTTATTCTTATAAAGATCTTAAAACTTTAATTGCGAATAATTTTATATATAGAAAATGAAGGCATAGAGCACAATTATTAAAACATAAAAATTAAAATTGTGTAAAATTATTTAAGGTGGTCTTTACTGAGATGCTTAAGTAAAAAATAAAGATGTGACTTTTATAAAAAGTATAACTAATTTGTTATTGTACTGATTAATTTTTTAAAAAAAATTAAATATCTTAACTTCTTTAATGGCATTTTTATTATGTTACTAATAGTTATGAATGATGAAGTTAAGACTTTTTGATTTTGGGATGGGTTAAAAGATGTTCAGGATGGTTCTTGGATGATAATGGAGAAAAGGGGAGGGGGGATTTCTGGAGCCCTGGAAATCACACAGATAAAACATTATACAATTAAAACTGCATGTTTGTAGGATGTATAATAGGATCTGAAATGAAAGTGAAAATAACAAGACAAAATAGCAAAACACGTGTTTATAGCTTTCCACTTTGTCTCAATCTTCACAAAATTCCACATCAAATTTCAACTCCACATACCAGGCTAGAAATATATAAGAAAAACGAAAACATACATAAAACATGTATAGAAATAAGCATTTAAAAATAATGGATGCCCTTATTATAAAAAAAACAAAAAAAGAAACCAAACCATAATAGCATTATGAACACAGTCAAAATGTATTCAGAAATTAATATGTCTACTTCCAGCAATTTTTAACCTATCTACAATAGCATTTATACTACCATAATAAATGGTGTGTAACACAAATATTTTCAAAATAGCTAATAGTTTCAATTAGCATTTCTCAACCAGTACACCTAAGAACACTAATGCACCCTGAAAGGTAGCCAGGTGTGGCGCAAGTTAACAAAAAAAAAGTAATTTATTATTTTTATATTTAAAAAAAAAAAAAAAAAAAAAAAAAAAATTTTTAAAAAGCTAGAGACACCAAGCAAATAGTATCCATGTCTAAGTCAAGCCTTTGTCATTTGATATTTTAAACTGGATGGTAAATTCCTTAATCTTGTGAATAATCCTCTCTTTTGCCTTCCTCAAGAGATTTAAATCAGACATGATTGGTCTCTCTTAAAAAAAAAAATTCTTCATAAATATCTTTAAATGAAAACTGTACCATTAATCCTTTTGGGAATACTAAACCAACATTTCATATTTTCAAATTTCATGACTAATTTTACCTTATTAAAATTTAAAGTTCCTGCCAGAGTTTTAGTTAGTCTACAAGTACGTCCGAATGCAAAAAAGTTTGAGAAACACTGATTTAGTCAAAAGCAATTGGAATCTACAAACTTTCAGACAATTTTTACACTCATTAAGCCCAGAAAAGAAAAAATTTGTACAAATAAAAAAAAATAAAAAATATTTTAAAACAAACAAGAGTATTTTGTTGTTCTTGTTTAACTAATATATATATATATATATATATATCCACACACACACACACACACACAATTCTCAGAGATATTCACCTTCAGGTGGAAAATACTGATGAAATTGATTACTTCTTTATGCAGCTAAATGCTTTCTTAAGGACGCTATGTGGAACATGAATAAATGCTGGCAGAAAATCAGATGTCAGAAGGAACATTCACCTCTTCACAAAAAGCCTGGCATGTGGATAGTGTTGAAGCAAGCAAGGGTCAATTAATAAAATTGCTTGAATGTTTTATACAAGTCTATCAAAGCTTACTCGGAATGCCCATCATCATGTGACTACTTCTATCACTTTTCCACTTGTGGAGGCAGAAAATAGAAAGTTTATTTACTCTAGACCCTAACCCAAATTTATCAATCTTTTTTGATCAAATTAAAATACATTTTGAATATGTTAAATGCATATTAGCATTATGGCATTTAACAATTTTAACATTTTTTTAAACTAAGTCCTTAAAAGCCAATCTGAAAAATGATGTCCCTAAGTATTTAAGATAAATAAATTTTGCTTATTAAATAGCAATTCATTTTCTGCCAGGATACTAGATACATTTATAAGTTAAAGCTTTTCTTAGGGAGTATATGAGTTACAGGGGGGGGGGTGAGAAGTTCAACTGGTCAAAAAGCTCCTCCACCCAATCTGATATTTGCACAGATTTTTGAAAACAACTTTCAGTAGCACCCTTTTGTAACAACTTAAGGTGTTTGATTTTAAATCAAAAAGAAAAATCACTGCCTTTTTAAAATCCCTTTATAATACAGGGTGTGTCCCTAGAGTCTGGACACCTAGGAAATCTCATTATATATATATATATATATATATATATATATATATATATATATATACACCTCCACAGATTAAACATGGTTTTGTCAAAAGAAAAAGAATTGACTTCTTTTTCTGGGGTATGCTAAAGGAGAAGGTGTACTCAATGAGGATCACAGATGCAACACACTTGATTAAATCCATAAAGAGTGAATGAATGTGCTAAAATTGATAGCAATGTGGAGTTATTGCATCAAATTCACATGAATCTTGCAAAGTGCATTAACCTTTGCATTACAAATCATACAAAGAGATGTTACTTGTTAATATTCCCATTCAATAAAACATTGAAAATTACATTTCTTGAAAATATGCATTTTTGCCTAGGGTGCCAAGATTTTAGGGACACTGCAGATTGCTTAATTTAGAAAAGGGTTAAGTTTATATCATTCTATTTTTTTTTTTAATCTTTCTGTACCTATAACAGCTTGTACTTTAGCTTACACCAAAGTTAGGTCAGAAACCAAAAACAACAAAATAAAAGTGTAAGTTGACCAATTAGCCATTAAAGGAGTTGGGCTTCCAGGAAAAAAAAGTTGTTTTTTTTGGGGTTTTTTTTTGTTTTTTTCTTTTATAGAGGGGAGGGTGTTCTAACGTCATTAAATATTTGTTGTTGGATTAAGAGAGCGAGAGAAATGGAAATTACTTCAGTCACATTACTAAATCTCCAGCATCAATAGAAGGTTTGTATAAACTCAGAAATGGTCACAATCAAGTATATGATTATTAACAAAGGAACTAGAGAAAATTTTTAATTAACTACCAATAACAGGACTTTTCATTAGTGAAGTTTTCTCGTTCAAATGACGGAAATTTCTGATGGTGTTAATGGAGTTTGTGAGGATGAACGTTAACTTTACAAATAATGACAGGTTTCAAAGTTTATGCAGTTAATGAGTAAATAACTGTGTCAGGTGATCTGAGGAAGGTTGGAGACAAAAACAAAACAAATAAAAGGTAACATTACCCCCATGACAACAAAATATCTTTTCATCTATAATAGCAGCAATAGGAAGACAGTTGAAGCAGTCTGTGAATGTCTTCCATAGGCGAACATTAAACCTTCGTTTACCTATAATAAAAAGAGAAAAGAATAGATTAGCAAAAAGGAATTAATGGAATAAAGTGTTAAAAAAAAAAAAAATAAAAAATAAAAACTATATGTCAGAAAGGTATGCAGATGCTTAAAAGAAATTGTTGAGTTTTGTTCTTGTAAAATATTGGCTGGAATCAGACTTTCAATCAAAACAAAAATCATTTTTGGTTTTCAATTTTGTTAAAACTGTTAGAATATTTCTATTAAGGTATTTAAAAAAAGATAAATTCACACAACTAATGACATATAAATTTTTTTCTTATTTAAAAAAAAAAAAAGGTGGGGTTAAAACCAAAATTTTTTTCTATTATGATTAATGGACTCCCATATTTAAGATGGACTCACCATTTTTATTTTTAAACAGTTTATATCACATCTATGCCTGCAATCAAAAAATCTTAAAGGAAATGTATTCTATCAATTTGATCTCTCTCTGCCAAGGAACACAATTCCTTTATTAAAATTTCTCACAGGCCCAAAAAGTCAGGCATCTATTTCAAATATGAGTGTGCTCTATAACATTTAAAGTAATAAAACACACATACATATATATATATATATATATATATATATATATATATATATATATACACACACAGACTTTGTAGCAAAATGGTATAGCACATCAGATCAAATTACTGTTTCTGTATAGGATACAGGTTCAATTCCTGTTGGAGAACGCATATTTTCTACAAAATTTCTCAAACTTTCAGGCTGGGAAATGTAATTAATACTGTTTAATTAAAAACAGAAATTTTACTTTAATTGTATCTATAAAAATATTGTATAAACAGAAAATATATTAAATAATTATCAAACTTAATCTATTATATATATATCCACAACCCTTTTAACTATTTAAATGAACCCCCAACATTGACAGCCAGCTATAAAATCTCAAAAAAAAAAAAAAAAAAAAAAAAAAAAAACATTTCCATACAACCAGTCAGTATTGTACATTGAACACTTTCTTCCAAATGAATGGAATGGAGAAAAAAGAAGAAAAAAAAGGAATAATGATAAAGCAAATTAAAATTTCCTTACACTATTTACAGTTTGCAAACCAAAATAATGTACAGAATATACAACTAAATCGTTTATTATTATGTTTACTGTTGTATACACTACAAGACTAGGTAAACAATTAAAAATGTTAGAAATGGTTCAAAAGTGATGTTAAAACTATCTGGAGCTCAGTGACATGAAGCCTTTACACATGTAGCATGCAGGTACAACTCATTTAGTGAACATGTTGGAATAGAATCCAGTCATTATTATAGGAGTAGATAGGATTTTCTATTGTTCAATTCAAACTCCTCCCTAGTCTTTTGAGCAAGAGGTTTATCCTTTGTTCCCTGTTTATGATTGGGTTTTTCAGTCATTTCATTTTCTTTTAGTCCCAGTGGTCCTTTGCATCCTAGTGGCATTACTGCCTTGCTTGGGGAAAATTCATTTAAAAGAGAAAAAAAAAAAAAAAGAAAAAGAAAAAAAAAAAAGAAGAAGTGGCTCTCTGCCTCTAACACACACATATATATATATATATATATAATTTATTACACACAGCTACAAAACTGGAGTCGGGATGCTGAAGACAACATCAATCAGATAAGTCACAAACTTTTACTTATATAAATAAAACGAATAGTGTCTCCAACAAAACGTCCATCAGATGATGACCTTGAGGTCAGATATGGCTTTTGGAGGAAAGCATCATTACCATTAACTGCAGACTACCAAGCAACTGGATTTTCCATATGAGTGCCACATCTGCCTCTGCTCAATTTTGGAGTCTCTTAATAAATTTCTTTTTTCTGTTGATGACAATTTGAGATTAATCCTACATTACAATGGTATGGAGTTGGGTGGGTTGGGTTGAGAATAAAATCTCCTGGCTTCCAATCAGAAACAGATTGATTGTCCAGACATGTCTTACATATAGCACTTGAAAAGCTTTACATAACAAAACATATGACAAAGTGGAAATTTGATAAACACTGAACTTGCAAAAGAATCGCAAAGGTTGAAGGAAATAATTCATGGCAATCTCTTCACAATATCCAAGAGTTTATTATAGTGCAAATTTTTATGATCAGTTAAAAAAAAAAAGCACCCAGTGTAACTAATGCAGGGTCAAATCAAATTCTAAAAAAGTTAGGGACTGAAGAAGAAGAAAAAGAAAGAGGAGAAGAAGAAAAAGAAAGAGGAGAAGAAGAAAAAGAAAGAGGAGAAGAAGAAAAAGAAAGAGGAGAAGAAGAAAAAGAAAGAGGAGAAGAAGAAAAAGAAAGAGGAGAAGAAGAAAAAGAAAGAGGAGAAGAAGAAAAAGAACAAGCAAGAAGAAAAAAGAATGAAATGGAAAAAAAAAATAACTCACTGGTAAATAGCAGGTGGTAAAATACCAACTATCCCCAGAAGAAATCAGAAAAAAATTGTATTTTTAAGAATCCTTGACAGCTGTCCAGGTGTAGTCATCTTAGACACTGAATTGGCAGGTATAATATCTTCCCCCCAAGGAGCACCTAGAATTAGGTAAGATAAAGGAGATTCAAGTTCCCTCAGGAATTTCACATACCTGCATACCATATACAAAAAAAAGGAGACATTGCTGACACTAAAAACAACTAGAAGCGAGAGGCCAGAGATGATTTGAAAGAATCCAGAAAGAGAATATCCACATTCCCTAACAAATATCTGAATCCACCGTACAGACTAGAAAAAAAAAAAAAAAAAAAATCTCTTAGTTATTTGTTTTTGCTAAAGCAAATGCCTAACATAGGTCATCTGATCAAAGTCAAAAAGTAGGAAAGGTAATATCAGGAAGGCAGGTGAGGTGGATTATATTTAGGAGTTAATTATTCTTTATATGATTACCCTGGTCACCTCCACACCTCACTACTACTACTACTCCTTTGCCCTCTTCACAAGAAGAAAAGTTTTAAAAAATTGGGTAGAGTATCTTCATAATTTTCAAGCAAATTACAAAGTAAACGTTTATTAAACTTTTCTTTTTGATCATTTAATAAAGTATTACATTATTTTCTGGTGTGTAGGTTTTTCTCAAAGTATTTCTTTGAGTAGTAAATAATAAAAGGCAATTTGATTAAGATTAAACATCTGCTTTTTAATTTTTGCAGTAAAGTTTTCAAAAATTATAAAGCATACCATTTGTTTAAATATTGTATTAATTCAAGTATATAAAATGCTTGTTTTATGTGCATGCACACACACAATGAAAAAAAAAAATCAACTTTGCAACAATGAAAACGTGCAGAAATTATTTTTAACTCAATATTAAAGTGACGAGGAAAACAGTCAATAGCGGGTATCTCCTGATGAGCGAATGGAGTGATTAGTCTATAAAACTAATTGGGATGCAGAAAAAAAAAAGAAAAACAAAAAGGAAAAATTCAGCTAGGTGATAAATTTTGCATTCATCATGTTAACGAGTTGATGGTTACATGTAGGCATTAAAATAAATGCCTACCGAAATATGATGATCCAGATTAAAAAAAAAAAAAAATTCCATTAAAAATTAAAGAAAAAGTAATCTCCATTTATGATTAATGTAAAAATTCATATTCACAACTCTAAAATTATATATATATATATATATATATATATATATATATATATATATATATATATATACACACACAAAAAAAAAAAAAAAAATCCCATTTATTTTAAATGCCAAATATATTATTTAAAATTAAAAAAACTGTAATCGTAGTATAATATATAACTGCACCAACATTGCCATAACCAGATATTTTTATTAAAATTTAAATTACATAACAGTCAGTCTATATTTTGCACCTAAAGATTGTGTTGTGCATGAAAATGAAAGAGAGAGACAGGGATGTGTTTAGATCACAGCACTATGGCAAAATGCTGAGGTGGCCTTAAAAAATTAGCTACATCTACAGCAATTTTTGCCTTCAACTTAAAATTTTTTTTTTTTTTTTTTGAAAAACAGCAATACTTAAGCCTGATCTCCTCACAAAGAAAAGAAAAATACATGTCAAAAAGTCAACGATCAGTTTGACATATTTATTTCACTCACTGAGGTAGACTGTTCTAGTCCCACGTGCCATGTTTAATGGATGTCAATTATCAGTTATCTCCTGTTAATTTTCCCTCTGAAAGTTCTCCACTGCCTTAACCGGGTATTGAATTCACACTCTTTGGGTCCTGTCACTGGATCTAACTAACGCCTAATCCACTGTGCCATGTGTCCTTGAGGAATATAGACAAATATGTGCTTCTCCAACAGGAATTGAACCTGTAGCTCCAATGATCAAAATTTCTTAAACATTCAGGCTGGTGAATGTAATTAATACTGTTTATTTAAAAGACAGCATTTACTTGTATAAATTGTATCTATAAAATAACATAAAAAGAAAATATTAAATAATTGCATACATGCATGTATGCATGCATACACACACACACAATTTCTGCTTCATTGAGTCACTCTTCAAGAAAAAAAAATTATTGAATTAGCTCCCTTGCAGACTATGCTACACCTGTGTACTATTTGAAAAAGAGGAGCTCTGGTTGTAAAGATAATGTTTTACTGACATTCAAATGGATGAATAAATAAGGGATAATACTCCATAATTAACATCTAATAGTTATTTCCTCTGAAAAATCATTTTTCCCCACTTCAGTGCAAATGCAGACCCCCCTCCCCAATATTATCAGTTAGGTGCCATTCAGGATATACCCATGGATGATCATTTCTCTTTCAATTGACTAGGCACAAGATATTTTCCATTTCTTTCTGCAGTAGACTGGTTGCCAACCAAGGTTATAGGATCTGCTCTGTCCTGCTATTCAAGTTGTAGCTGTGGGTGGGTTGAGAAGAGATGGATTCATGCCTTTCCCAAGCGTAAGTGAATGTAACGAACTTGACTGGAATTAGAACTCAGCTCTTCAATTTCTCATCACATGGTTTTAAAAAAAGGTAATATTTTTTGCATTTTTCAAGTTAGCTTATTTTAATTCAGTGTCTCTGGCTATAATGCACAGTTTCAGTTCCTTGAAGGTTACAGACAGACGCACAGACTTTTAGTATTATGTAGATAAATTATCTTGGGGGGATTTCATAAAAACTGTTGGCATAAGAGATGTAAAACTATATTCTGAATGAGCATCAAGCAGAAAAAAGTTTTATAGCATTTTTTTGGACTAGCATAAAAGGTAGTGTCATTTCAAATTATAACATCAGGGCAAATCCAACTGTCATTGTTCAGGTTTTAGGTGAACAAGTGATGCAAATATAAGAAATTAAAAGACAACAGAAAATAAACACTGTTAAAATTGAAGAGGGGGGGATGCATGAAAAACTCTCTCAAAAGACTGAAAGTGTTAAGATTATTTAAACAATATTTGCTGAATCCAATTTTGTTCTGTGATTAGGATAACAATGTTATCAGGTCCTTGGCTTCACTCAGTTTCCTCACCATAGTAACATGGCTTCCCTGTGCTTTTCCCATGAATATTTTCATGGTAATTATTCTGATGATCTTTCCTCTTTGGTACTTCAACTTTATAAATTTTTGCACAGTACTAGATTGGCAGTTAGGTCTCATCATTTTACAGTTGAAATGGCTAGATGTAATCATAGGTTCTATGCTAATGGTTCCTTACTTTTTGTTTGTGGAACTCTCTTCTGGCTTCATGCTTTCCAGTCAACTTCAATTGTCAAAGATTTAAATGCAATATCAAATGTTATTATTTATTATCTTCTTAATTCCTGTTCTTTTATTGTTTTCTCTCTTTAATAGTGCACCCACCACCAGTTATTTAACATTCAGCAACTTCCTGCATCTTAGTGGCTTTATTGCTCTTGCTTGAGGTGAAATGATTAAAAAATGATTACCATCTATTTTCAACAAGAAATACAAAGGGAAACCTGATCCTTTTAGTGTAATTGGTTAAGAGAGAGAGTGTAAATAAACCTAAATATGAGAATAAAATTCAAGATTTTAAGAGATCTGTTACATCTGTCAAATGTAAACAAACCTCATAGAGCCAGTCAACATTCTGACAATGGTTTGAAAATTTAATGAGAACAAGAGTTTTTCAAGATTCATTTAATGTAAAACACATGGGTCACAGTTGTTTGACCTTTATAATAAAAATTAAAATTGCAATATCTGCAACATTATCTTTTTCCTCATATTAATAATATATGCATAAGGTATTTCCTAAAAGAATTAGGAAAGTTAAATCCATAATACTTTATATTTAAACAAAAGTTTGATGCCACAAAATTAGTACACCGCCTTAATTATACAAATACACATTCTTTAAAGTATCCTTTTTCGACGAGCACTTCTTCACAAAAACACATTGGTACCTTCTTAAATAAACAAAATGTAACAAATTCACAGCAAAACCCAAGTATATACAGAAGAGTTAAGAGGAACAACAACTAAAATTGAAATGTATTAGTAAAATGAGGAAAAAAAAGGGGGGAATATGGCATTTATTCGGCTAGATACAAACCAAATTCATTTATCCTAATCAAAAACCAAGTTTCACATTTACTGTTATCCAGTTTCCTTTCTTGAATAGCAAGAATTCAAATACTTTTTTATACTTATGTTCATCCAATACAAGGCTCAAGAGACACTTAAGGTAGAGGGTTACTGAATGATTTTTTATGAGCATAAGAAGAGATAAGAAGTGTCATTTATGAGGTTATGTAGGTGAGATAACAGTTACTCCCTAGACTTGAAAAGGTTAAAATTGTAATAATCGGGTAAAACATCCTATTAGGAGTTTATTTGACAAAGTAATAGTTCTAAAGAAAAAAAGTTATTCAAGAAGGAACTTTCTTCTCACTAACAAAATAAAAAAAAAAGAAGAATGAGGATGATCTGTCCCTGTGTACAAGGCAGGGTGGGTCTTAGCTGTAAAGATCAAGACTGGTGGAACTAAGGATTGTATCTTGTTTAAACATTTGCCATAGAAATAGCAATAGTGAGAGGCTTCTGATATCTTGACTGTGGGGAAAGAGGTTGTAAGATGGAAAATAATTCATTACCCACAAACATTTGTGTTTTTTTTTTTTTTTTAATTCACTGGTAGACATTTTTGAAGTCTATACAAACAGGCAAGTGATGATTGAGAAGCTCTAGTCCAGATATGAGAGCAATATTCCATTTTTGGTCTGATGTGGCTTTTATCGAGAGCATAGCAGAAGTAGTCAGATACTTTCTAGAGCGGTACAATGAACTGACCATTTTTTCAACATCTTTAGTAATGGATTGTATATATGGGTTCCATATGAGATCTTGAGGTGGGCATTCAAGGCAAAGGGCCTCCTTAAGAGAACACCCATCCTTCATGATACATGCAA